AATAAGTAGTAAAGTAAAGTAAAAATATCAGAAAAATCTACTTGAGTACAGTAACGAAGTATTTGTACTTCGTTACTTCCCATCTCTGCAGATCACTGGTATTCCCTATTGCAGATCTATCTATTTCCTACAACTTGGTGACACAGACAGTTGCCAAAGCAAAAGGAGGGCAAAATGAGGAAGAGTGTCCCAGCAAAAATAATTATCAATATGTCCTGGGACCTTAGGATCCTGCAGCCCAATTGAAACCATAAATATGTAACTAGGAACCAAGCCAAAGCTTAATGTGATGAACAAGTCCCTCAGGTTCCCACTGATCAGTAGCCCAAAGCTCCATGCACAGAATCATCTGATCAGCAATCCCCTGCTTAACCCACTACTGAATGGATCCCTGGAGCTCCTTGGCACCTCAGCATTGAGTCAACTCATCCTTATGCTCCCTCAGCTTATGTTTATAGTAAAGATGTCAGAGTTGAAGTTACTAGATTTCCAGAGTTGTAAGCAGCCTTCTGCCAAGGCATTGGGTTCAAGGAGATAGAAGACGTCATAAATAAGTAAGCAGATATGCAGATATGCTAGGGGTAGCTGTTAACTAGCTCCTTGAAGGTTTTAACAAATTTGTTGCAATCAGGGAAGTTGTTCTTAGGTCAAAATGTCAGTTAGTAAGGGCGACATTGCCTCCAGTCATGTTTATAAGCATAATAGGAAAATCCAGGAAAACGGGGACATCAAAAACAGCTGATCAGTCATGTGATTAAAAGTTCATCTGAGCTGATTCTATCAGGCTCAGAACAGTAAGATGCAGTATTCAAGTTAACATCTAAATGTATTATTTAAACAAATGTTTAAAAATAAGTCAATCACCATGTTTGCCTCATCAGTATTTTATATCCATACAGGCAGCCTGTGTGATTAGTAATACCAACAAATTATTACTAATCACTGATTAAGTTATGTTTATTTTAATAGTGGCCACACTAACTGTTACGAATCAGCTGTTCAAAGAGACAGCTTACAAAATGAACTGCTGACTTGCTAAGTGAGAGAATAGGTGTCATCCATGTGGATAAGGAATAGTTCAATCACAATCCATAATTGTCTCTTACTAGTCTGTGGGCCAGCATTTAGTTATTTCATAATCCTTTCTACCTGAGATCAAATAGCAGAAATTAGAGGACATTAAGTCAATACTACAAAGATTTGTTTTGGGTAAACTACATAGGACGGTCTTACATGTCAAAAGCCCCATTTATATCATCCCTTTGAAACCATGCCAAGATAGGTCCGAGCTTGGTAACCGAGAAAACTGTTCAGTGTAAATGGCTGAACTGAACCGGAAGCACCAAAAACAACCGAACCACGCTCACATGGTACTAGTTCATCAGTAGGGCTAGGTGCGGTTCAGTTCTGGCTCGTTTCTTAGATAACAAATAGCGCATGAGCAAAACCCCATCATCTTCTTACAGTCAGCCTCCGTGATCATGAAACTTCAGACATCATAAAAATACAAGCTTCCCTACCCTGCCACACGATTTCCATTGATGATTCTGCTAAGCTGTGTGATAAACCTCAACTCCTTTCATTGTTTCCTGTGTCTGTAAGCTCTGTTTAGACTATCATTTGTCGTATCCACTTCTGAAAAGGAGACTGTCAAGTAAATACACCAAAGTGGCCTTCTTCACCTGACTCTCCGCAAACTTCCTGAATATTATGGGCGCTGCCATGTTGGTTTGCTTGTTTCCTTCTAGAGAGCAGTAGTACCGTAGATCGTCACTAGAAGGCGAGGAACCATGCTAACGTGGTGTGTAAATGTCATACGAAACCGAGCTCGGCACTGTTGACTGATCCAAGCTCGGCACGGATCGGTTTTCAGAGGGTAGTGTAAATGGGGCTGTTGTTTCTGGGCTGTATTAAAAGAAAGGGCAAGTATACCCAATTCTCCAGGGACTACTACATTACTGGCTAATCCAATTATATTTAGAGGGGTGCCAGTGATATTTTCTTCACTATAATCAATCAAGGGAGAATTGATATTCCACAGAGCTATGGCTCTGAGGGAGTTTCGCAACCATATTGAAAAGAAATCTATGATTATTCTTATTCTCCTCTGTTACTGAAGATAAATATGCTGGTCTTAAAGTCTTAAAGTAATCTTTAAGGTTCCTAAAAAGTTGATAGATAAGACGGGGTTGTGAGGAGATACTGTTATTTCTTCACAGTCAATGCCATCTGTCAGCACAAGGTCAAAGTATTAAGATAAGAAGGTTTGGGATTATTTTGAATAAAGCCCCCTAAGTCTAAGCATTTAAGGCTACATTTGTTGTATCATCCTCAATGTCAGGATGAATGTTAAAATCTCCCACTATAATAAACTTTTGAGTATTTAACACTACATCACATGGGAACTGAAAATTGACCTAAACATTCAGAGCAAAGGTCTGGTGGACAATAGAAAGTTACAAACAAAAGAGGTTTTGTTCCTTTACAGTTTTGAAGGTGGAAAACTAAAGGTAAATGTTCAAAAGAATTGTAATTATTAATTGGCTTTGGGGGCTGCTCAGTGGTGTATATTGGGTAGCACTGCTGCTACCCAATACGGTTCTCCCCGGGTACTCCGGCTTCCTCCCACAGTCCAAAAATATGACTGTTAGGCTAATTGGCTTCTCTAAATTTTCCTTAGGTGTCAGTGTGTGCAAGAAAGGTTGTTTGTCCTGTTTGTCTCTTTGTTGCCCTGCGATGGACGAGCAACCTGTCCAGGGTGTACCACGCCTCTCGTTGACAGCTGGAGATAGTCACCAGCACCCCTCGGGACCCTTGTTTTATTTCAGACTCACCTAGATCCAGACTTAAAGAGCCTTCTTACAAAATTACACACAATTGCTTTCTGAAGAGATGTGTCCGGACTCCTGGCTACCTTCCATTGTTTCTTTATTACGGTATTCATAGTTAAACAAGAATATAATTTAGTCAAACTTGTAAAGTTGTCAGTTTGATCAGAAACAAGTCAATACAATTGTGCCTGTATTTGTATTTTCATCATTTCGGTTTTGTGTGATAGACTATAAATAAGATACATAAGAGGTAAATTATTGTGGATTATTGATGTTAAAATGAACACAGCACCTGTTCATCTTTATCCTTTATCACCACCAGATCTGCTCCTCTTGATATGCAATCCTTTCTTCCTTCATCCCACGAACCCCTTTTTGTAGAGCGGAAGTAACAGGAGCAGCTGAAATATGTCCATCCTGTAGAAAAAATATATACATATATTTAACATTTTAAGTTATTGTTGCTCTTTTTTTGTAAGAAATAACGGAATATTTAATACATTAAATACAAAATGTATTTATCTATTTACAAAGGGAGTTATATTGATATTTTGTTCTGCCTTCGGATGTTTTTATCCAAACCTTTGGAGGAAATAGGCACAAAGATTGATCTTATTTGCGTATTTTCCTTCCAAAAAAAAAAAAAAAAAAAAAACAAGACAAAGGAACTTAAGCTGACCTGCAACTCTAAATATCTATTCATGGATCTTTCTCAGTATTTGTTGCCTTTTTTTGACAAACCTTGAGCCCTGTTCAGCTTTTTCATCATTTCAGTGAGGTTAGCATGCAGCAGGTTTCGTTCTTCAGTCATAGAGTAAAGCTTGCTGTTGCTGTCCTGGAGACGGTCAGTAAGATTATCATTGATGTTAGAGAGATCAGCTGCCAAGTCCCAAGCTGAAATAAATCAATTACATGTTTTAAAAAAAAAATAATAATATTGATTTTCATGTTACTAACTCAAGTTATCTTAATGTCTCAGTATTAAAAATTATTTCACAATGAAAAGGGAATATATAAATATCTTTGATGGTGAGGACATTAACATGATTTTGACATAAATAGTGTGAAAGCCTCTTGAATTGTGAACAAGGAAGTATTGTTTCTGTAATCTAAAACATGCTAGACAGGCTTAGACCGTACATCAGTCAAATCATGCAACATACAGTATGTTAATATTTTATCCACAAAGATTTGCTCATTTATACCAAGGCTATGCTACCTGTGGCTCTTTGGGTCATCTACAGTTTTAGCAGGTTTTTAAAGAACGTTTGAATCATTTTTCTTATAGTTACATAAATACATAAAAAGATCTATATTATGCTTTTAGATCTATATTTCTTGTCATTTGTCATCAGCTTGGAAACCTTTGTTTTATGTTTTGCATTAAACATGGAGACGGTCAGTAAAATTGTCATTGATGTTAGAGACATCTGCTGCTAAGTCCCAAGCTGAAATTAATCAATAAATTAATTGATTTATTTGACGATTAGATGTTAAAGATAAAACATCTAAATATTTTAGAATTTTAAATTATTTCACACTGAAAAGAGAATGTGTAAATACTGTGAATAGTGAGGACATTATTACGATTTTAACTAAAATGGTAGGAATGTACAGTTTACTTCAAAATGAGGAAGATTTCTTTCTGTAATCTAAAAAGATGTCACAGGCTTAGACTGAACATCAGTCATCAGTTTATGACCAACTTTTTCAAGGCACTGCAAACCTTTGAATCACGAAGATTTGTTCTTTTATACCCAGTCAGTCAGTTTGATTATAGAATGGGCTGTTGCCATTTATCTTACAGTGAAAGAGGCTTTACTCTGTTCTTATTTAAGCTGACAAGAACAAGACTCACAGTGGAGACCAAGGACGATGAGTCCAACCAGCAGTAAAACACTCAGGATTCCCAGAAATATAATAACAATCAGGAAGGGCCTCTTCTTGGAGCTGCTTGAACCTGAACAAACAAATAAATTAAATATTATCTGAATGCATTCTGTTCTAAAACGATCATAAAATGCATCATACATTTCTCTGTCCAATCATTCTTACCTTCGGTCTGAGACGTAGGAATTTGGCAAACAGGTTTCCCATGTTCCACATTGGCATATATTTCCTCCATCGCTTAATGCTATTAATTGTCTGGCTCTTTCGATTACTTAACATCAACATCTGCTGTGGTATTTATTCTCACCGAAACCTATGAGACAGCCTTTTCTTGAGGCGTAAAACAGGAAGCAACACATATTAAACATGAGAGTGAGCAAAAGAACTGTCTTCAGTTAATTTGAACTTGTTTTTCTTCTCATTTTTTATTTTGTTTGCTTAATTTACTTATATTACTAGCATTTTTTTCAGTGCTTACAAGCAAAACCTGGAAAGCCTTTTGACTATTATGTACAATTTGTCTTCAGCTTCCTGAATAATTTCTCACATGCAAGATGCTCCTTCTGTTGAAACTGTAAGACACTGTAAGCCTCTTCTTACATTACAAAACAATCTTATTTTTCTAAATGTTTTTCTCAACTACTTACAGATTTACAACAAAAAGATTCCACATACAGCATGTTGTGTTTTGGTGTTATATATATTTTTGCAGGCAAGTTTAACTTGGTTCTACTACAGTTGTTGCTTCATTGCTTTGGCTCATTTCTTTGAACACAAATTACGTTCTAAAAATAGCACAGACAAACCTTCAAACCTCTTACCAATAGTTCACAACACAATTGAACTGAACTGCATTGAATGGAGAAAGAATGTAGAAAGAAAGAAATGTGGAAGGGGTTCACGTGATGCAGCCTCTGCAGGCAGACGTGTGTCAGTGCTCCAGGTAGACCTCAGCAGTTATGGATTTATACTAAAGACTACATTGCTCCAGGATATAGAATTTATTCAGGAAAACGGTGAACAAATATTTACTACTCAGACGTGATAAATTGGAACTGAAATTTAGCTGCTTTTGGAAACTTCTTGTCAGTTTAAGTGAGAGTCCTCTCACGTGGGGAAGTTGGCAACTGATCAAGATAAACCAACACTGAAATCCCTGATGAAAGCTATCCATGAATCGAAAGAAGAGCTCACTGAGCATGTAAATCAAAAAGTAGATTATATTCAACAATGGCTAAAAAAA